TTCTCCGCGACTATCGCAACTTCAACAAGTAATACCAGGCTGCGTGGGAGGCACAGGGTGGGGAGGCCTGCGTATTTTCTGCTTACTAGCTGTAGCCCCAGCACTTCGTAGATGTTTACCGAGATCTTGCTAGAGTGGTGCCTAGCTCCTGTTTGGTGTTCATTACGTGTGTGTGTGGGTGGGTGGGGGGACTGAACATGCCACACCTCCATTCTCATTCTACAATGGAAGAGATCACGCTCAGGCGTATGAGCACCCTGCTCAGTCACAGACTCCGGAGGAATGGGCAGCACTGGACTTCAAGTCCCAGAAGTCTGTGTTTCTTTGCTCTCCATTCAGCTCTGGAGGACATCTGAACTCTGTCCTTTGGGAATACCTCCAGAGCTCACAGTTTCTGGGCTCACCCTGCTTTTTCTTTCAGCACTAATATGAAAAAGGCCTGGAAGGTGGATCAAAGGCTGTGGGAAGCAGGGAAATAGCACCAGAGTTGGGGCTGCTGAAGAAGTGGGTGGCCCATACTGGTTTAGTGCATGGCCTCAATGCAGTCTTCAATGCAGACGCCAGACATGGCTGTGTGGCCTTGGGCAAATAACGTCTCTGCACCTCTGTTGTTATCCTGTAAAATATAGCATTCCCAAATACATAAGGCTGCTATGGAGACCATGTGAGAAGTCCTAGAAGTTTCTGTTGGACAAAAAGCTGGCTGCTTCTAGGGCTGCTACTGTGATTGCTGCTTATAGACAGAAATGATGGGGGAAAGTGGATGGGCAAATGGAGTAGAAATTGGGGGTAGCTCTGCTCTGGGGACCTGGAAACAGAGCCCGAGTCACAGATGGAGGCAAATCTGCTGTAGTTGTCTTTTTTTTCTTGAGGATGTTTCTGAACATGTTCCTCTGGTTTGGGCTACAGTAAATGAGAACAAGGAGGGTTCAGAGAGGAAGCTGCCAGTCAGCCCTGCCTGTGCCTGCTGAGACCACACATGAAGATTGTCTGAGAGGCAGGCACTGTGTGGGAGGGTCTGGCCAGGCCCTAAGAGAAAGGATGGAAGGATGGGGTCCTTGAAAATACACAGTAGAGAGAGACTTAACTGCTCTAAACAGCTGACTGGGCAAGGAGGACTGGGCAGAAGAGTCTGTGAGAGCCGTTCTAAACCAGGCTGAATTGCTGTCCTCACCTGCTGCCTGACCACTTACTCAACTCCACAGCAGGCTCAGTCTTGGCAGCTGGCTTCCTGACTGGCTGACTTGGAGGCATGCCTCAGTCCTTTGTCTCAGATGTCTCAGAATGGCAGCTGAGGTACACTTCTGGCAGCAGGAGGGTCCTAGGGAGGCCCCTTCTGGGACAGAAGGAGCAACTGAGGTGGCAGAGGACAAGCAGGGCCCAGCTAGGACTCTGGACTCCCAGTCATGGCTTGAGGTCTGCTGGGCTCAGACACTGGCCAGCCTGGCCCAGAAGGGTGTCTCTGTTTCTGGAAAGCTGGGGTAACCCAGCAGTAGCACTGCCCTGGCAGGATCCCAGACCCTGACCGAGGTTTGCGATTCCACCCAGAGGCAAACACCTTTCCACTAGTCCCCACTGCAGGGGAACTACAGGAATACTGCTGTTTTTTGTTTTTTGTTTTTGAGACAGGGTTTCTCTATGTAGCCCTGGCTGTGCTGAAACTTGCCCTGTAGAGATGCTGGCCTCAAACCCATAGAGATGTGCTTGTCTCTGTCTCCCAAATGCTGGGATTAAAGGTGTGAACCACCACTGCCTGGCATGCATTTCTTTTCTTTTCTTTCTTTCTTTCTTTCATTCTTTCTTTCTCTTCCTTTTTTTTAAAGATTTATTTATTTATTTATTATGTGTACAATGCTGTGCCTGCATGTATGCTTGCACACCAGAAGAGGGCACCAGATCTCATCACAGATGGTTGTGAGCCACTATGTGGTTGCTGGGAATTGAACTCAGGACCTTTGGAAGAGTAGCCAGTGTTCTTAGCCTCTGAGCCATCTCTCAGCTCTTCTGGCATTTCTTCCTTCCTTCCTTCCTTCCTTCCTTCCTTCCTTCCTTCCTTCCTTCCTTCCTTCCTTTTTCTTTTAAGATTTATTTATTTATTATATGTACAATGTTTTGCCTGCATGTATAGCCTGAAGGCCAGAAGAGGGCACCAGATCTCATTATAGATGCTTGTGAGCCACCATGTGGTTGCTGGGAATTGAACTCAGGACCTCTGGAAGAGCAGCCAATGCTCGTAACCTCTGAGCCATCTCTCCAGCCCAGCATGCATTTCTTAAAGAGGACTGTGGATGCAACTGAGGAATCAAGCACTTGCCTAGCATGCATGAGGCCCCATGTTCAATGCCGAGCACTGCTCTTTTCCAGAAAAAGGCTTAAAAATTGCACACAGCCTTAGTCAACTGTGAATGAAAAAAAGAAAAAAAGGGAAGGAAAGAACACAAGTGCCCCTAGGTATAGGGGGAAAGTTTATTGTAGACATGTGGGAGAACATAGCCAGAGGCAGGGACATCTGGGAGAGTCCAGAGTGGACATGACCCTGAAGCAAAGACAGAATCTCTTTGTTGGCCACTCTCGGATCCCTGTTTCCTTTGCTTCCTTTGTTTCCTGTGGTAACACAGTTCTCAGGATGCCCTATGGTCCCAGAACATTTGTACTGGCCACAGCTTAGCAGAGGGTACACATTGCTGTGTGTATGAATACTTGGCTTCATTTTGTAGCTTGTCTTTTTTCACTCAGCTTTGTGTGTTTGAAACCCACCACTCTCATACAGACAATTCGCTCTTCCTTGAGTTTCTGTGTGTCTCTGGCTCGCTCACCCCTACACTAGAGGGTGTGGGGCTACTTCCTGCTTGTTAATGCCCTGCTGTCTGCTTCTTCACACAAGCACGCAGGAGCCTCCCCCAGCCATATGCCTAGAAACAGAGTTGCTGGGTGACGGTTTACACATTTTCAGGTTAAAAACGATTCTGCTAATTTGTCCTCTGAGGTAAAGGCAGGGAGTTGCCCACAAACCAAAGCAGCAGATGATGCGTGGAGCTTTGTCCCCGCCTCATTAACTGTCTTGGTGGCCTTATGTGGGGGAGAAGGGTTGGGCTCTGCTTGTCACTTGCATTTTGCTCATTCTTGTGGCTCCTCAATGTTCTCTGTCTTCTGGGTTGTGGGTATTTTGTTGTAAGGGCAAGTGAGAAAGAAATCCACCTTCCAGTGTTGTTCTTTTCTGGCACTGACTGGAGGGAGCCTAGAACTTACCCTAGGCCACCTCTGACTACAGACCTCCCTTTTACTTCAACAGGGAATGGATTTAGAAAAGGTGGGACTAAGGACCACTAATGGTAGTATAGATCTTTGCTGCCTAGAAGGGGAAACAGGCCTCACGTGTGCATGTACGTTACCCCTCCTTCACACAGGCCATCTCTCCTGTTTCTTTTCCAGGACCCCAGTGCCATTCGGAGGACCCTATGTCGGGGAGACCATTTTCCAAGCAGGCACCCCCTTTGTCCCAGAGCCCTTCAGTGGCTTGGAACTTCTCCGCCTCAGACCCAGTTTCAACAGAGTTGCTCAGGGCTGGGTGCGGAAGCTCCCTGAATCTGAGGAGCTGTAGCCTCAACCTGAAGCTCCAGTTTCTGGGCTCCGGGCTCAAGAAACATGTTTGTCTCTACTCTGCTTATTTGCTTTTCCTTCTTCTTTCTTTTCTTCTCCCTCCCCTTCCTCTCTCTGAGACAGGATCTTGCCTACAGGCTGATCGCCCTGGAACTTAGTATTAGTCCAGGCTGGTCTTGCCTCAGCTTCCCAAAAAACAGGGTTACAAAGTGAGCATGCCAGGCTGACTTCATTCACACACTTAACATTACTAAGTTCAAAGGTCACTGGGTTCATTGGTCCTCAAAGCAGATATGCATCAAACATTGGAACTAATTTGGATTTGGGACTTGTTCTAGGCTCACAGCCTCAGATCGGCCTGTGATAGGCGTTAGTATCAAGTACTCCAGGTGGCTTGTGTAAGTTGCCTACCGTATATGTGTGTCTCTAGGAAGCTATACCCCTGCCTGGATCTGTCTGGTTCCAGCAGCTGTCACTCACTTGACGACATGCTCAGTAGTAGTCCATATGTGTGGATTGTTCTGATCATTAGGGAAGGAGTAACTTGGGAATGCAGCTGTTTGTAGAATGTTTGCCTAATGTGGCTAACATGCACAAAAGCCCTGGGTTTGATTCCTAGTACCATGTAAACCAGGCATAGTGGATATGTCTAAAAGCCCAGCACTTGGGAGATAGGGGCAGAAGAACTGAAATTCTGAAGTCATCCTTGACTAACAATGAATTTAAGGCCAGCCTGGGCTACATAAGACTCTATCTTCAAAATAAAAGAAAAAAAGTTGTAACTCAGGCTGGCTATGAACCATAGCTGAGGACGACCTTGAACTCCTGATGCTTCTGCCTCCCTCTTCCAAGTGCTGATTAACAGATGTGCACCCCATGACTTCCCACTTGCTGAGACACAGCTGGTTCTCCTCTGCTCATGTTCTCAGTGTTTCTGAAACATGGGCTCTATGCTAGACAGTGCCAGCCAACATCTCAGGGGAAATGACAGGGAAGAGATTTGTAAGGCAGTTGAATTCTGACAGCCGAGAGCAAAATGACATGGAACAGGAGAACCCTGGATGGGTAGGTGGCACTTCAGAACCCTGTGAGGGTGGGTGGGATTTCAGAAACTTCCAGACTTGAACCAGACCTGAGAGAAGGAATGGGAGCCCATCAAGGAAAGGAGTGACAGGGCATTTTTGGCATGTGTTGAGATGGGAATTGAAGAGTGAGGTGTTTTGGCAAGGGGAGAGGCTGTGGTCGAGTGAGACAGCGGTTCTACTGGGTAAAGGAGGAAGAGGTTAGTGATGGCCTCATTTGTTTCTGTGTGGGCCCAGAATAGCTGGAGATCAGGAAGTCTACAAGGGGCAAGGCCTGGAGCAGGAGGGGAGAAAAGGGCGTCAACTTGAGACACTCTTTACAGAACAGGTACAAAACAGAACACTTACACCTTCCCATGCTCCATTCCGAAAAGATTCAAGTGACGAGGATGCCACTGCTGACTGTCACATGTGACAGTGTCTTGGTGGTTCTCTCCATACTCTCTCTTCTGTATATGTGGATATCCATCTCTAAAAGGAAATTAGTTGTCCGGACTGGAGTCAGGGTGGAAGAATCAAGAGTCCATCAAGGACTTCTACCAAATAGAGAACCATTTCACTGGCTGGCTGAGTCGATGCCTACTCATTCTGGAATCGTGGAGCAGTGCTCTATCTTGTGGGGACCAGAGGCACCCTACTAGATAGGATTTGGTTTACTCTGAGTGGTGTGAACTTAGGGAAGGCATTTCACAGAGCCTCTGCTTCTCTACTTGTAAGGCAAAGGACAAGTATAGGTCTTCAGCAGGGCTTGGGAGCACAATACAGGACAGTCACAGAGGCCCCAACCCTTCCTGTTAGATCTGCAGTTGATGCCATTTATAAAGCAGGCTGTGAGGATGCAGGATTCCTGGTCAGTGTGAAGCTAATGTAAGGGTTCCCTTTGATAGGAATCCCTAGCCAGGCTGGATGACACAGAGGCTGTATTTTTCTTTTGCTCTGTGGAGTTTTGCTCCCCTTCCTGGTTTCAGGGAACCAGTAGCCTGAATCTTGGGATTCCTGGCAGTTGATGTTTCTCTTGGATTTGGGACTGTCATCGAAAGCCAAGTTTCTATAATCTATAGACCAACACCATCTGGAAAGTAGGAGTTGGCTTGTTTGTGAAGCTCTTGGGAAGGAAATGTACTGACAGTGCAGAAGAGATCCTGGGAGGGTGGGGTTCTATACCCTAAAGTAGGTCCTCATCCCTCCTTCTCATGTGATTTTTGCTGTTTAATAAAATATGACCATTGTCTGTCCAGCATGGCCTCTCCAGTGCACACCCATTTACCTTCCTACCCCTGTACCCTGTATTCTGCTCCATTCCAGCAGACCACAAGTAAACCATTGGTCTTTAATGGAACCATACTATGTGTGCTGTTAGTTATTCAACAAGGATATTTTGGATCCTGAAAATGCAAATAAACATTTCATGTAATTTGGGAACCTAGCAAGTCCTTCATACAAATCTCTAATTTTGTCTCCTTTTCTTAACATAAAGTACCAAGACTAGCCAACAAAATATAGAGAAACCTGATGGATAAAGTTAGCAGCAATGATCATGAACTAGTTAGATGTAGCACATGGGCATCTTTCAGAAGCATAGTGATGAGCAAGGCAAGTCAAACAAACACCTGTATGGTTACTACTCACAGAAACAACATAAAATAGTGGTGTCTCTGGAGGGAAGGGTTTGTGGATGTGAGTGATTAGATCACAAATATTTCTGGGATGACTGGAGGTTCTCTACTTCTAGACCTGGCTGACTGCTACACAGATGTCTATTAAAATAGTTTAAGTTGGTTGTTCATCTGTGTCTTATGCACTTTTCTGCATACATTCCATTACGAAGATCCCTTCTTTAAAGTTACTTTCAGTCCCCAGAGACAACAAAAATTTGAGAAGTTAAATACATATTACAGATAAATCCATTACGTTACACATGAAAAACAACAAGCTCCCATGTGTATTCCAGAGGTAAAAAAGATGGAAAGTATGAGAAAAGATACACAGAATGAAATGCAGCTCAGAACTAGCAACACTTTGTAGCAGCAATGGCAAACAAGCCATGCGTTGGTTCATCTGAGCCTGGCTGCAGAGGGAGCACACAGAACCTGGGCAGACACTTCTGGCCTGTGACAGGTGCCTGTGACGGTTTCCAGAGAAGCCTCAGGTGCAGGTCAGTGAGCTAAGAGAAGACCTTTCTGTAGTGTGGATGACACTGTCCAACTAGCTGGGGATCTGGGTGACTGGAAAAGGGGGAAACCACTTAATCCCTGATTTCCAAGTTCTGAAGTACAGATTTTAGCTAAAAAATGGCATCAGACGCACTTTGGTTTTGCTGTTTCTTTTACAATGGCTTGTGTAAGAACAACACTTAAAATGACCATTTATTAAAAGTCACAGACAAGACTATAAATTTTTTTTTTTTTTTTTAAAGACAGGGTCTCAGTATGTCTTGGAATTCACTATGTAGCCCTGGCTGGCCTCAAACTCATAAGAAATCTGCTTGCTTCTGTCTCTTGAGTGCTGAGATTAAAGGTGCGCACCACTATATTCAGCTTTCTGTCTGTTCTTATTTCAACCCTATTACCAACTTTTTAGTATTAAAAAGGCTGGGTACTGGCCGGGCGGTGGTGGCAGCTGTGTTCATAGCAGCTTGTTTTGGGCCCACTGATCCTCTGACACATGTGGGGAAGCATAGCTGTGTTCTCTGACTGCCCACATCCGAACACATTCAGCTACCATGGAAACTACAAAGCAAGGAAAAGTATACGTATCCCAGGATTCATTTACTGGGATTTTAGAGCGCCCTTTCTTCCTCAGAGCTCCTGAGTGGTGATGTTGTGCTAGGGGCTGCTGTGTTTTCCAGCATGAGCTCCCATCCTCTGAGGGTCCTGAGAAGGGTAGTGGATTGGTCCTGGAGCTCTCATGAAAGGAGGTGGCGGTCCCATTGGGTGGAACATATGTGGTCCAAAACCTGATGTGGAAGAGAAAAAATTAGGCTTTCAGTTCCCTTGACAACCTTTCAAACCTCTGAATCTTTCTAAGATCAAACCCACCTACACATACATCAAGGATGACATAATGTTAAGTAAATGTCAGTGCACAAGACCTGCTTAGGAATATCTATCTATATCCCTTGGTTTTTCCCCTCAGCTCAAAAAACTTCAGACTCACGAACCTGTTAGTATGTCACCTGACTGCCAGCTACTAATCAAACACAGCAAATCCTACCAGACAGGAGTCAATCAGGATGTGGGAGACCAGAAAAAAACCAGGCCCTTGTCAAGATCCTTTCTGTCATTAGCCTCAATGGCTGATTCCAGAATGGAAATGACTTTCTTCAAACATATGGGCTCACCATCAAAAGAACACTAGCCACCCACTATTTCCTATATTGTTCACACTGTCATGGACATTCATATGGGGTGCTACCACTTGAACTCTTTATTAGTGGCTACTGACATGAAAAAGAATAAGAGCCGAAATGTAACTCGATTCCATGACCAAAACTCCATGTCATTCATATGACAAGTCTCTTTGTAGCAAGTTTTCTGGCGAAAGCAGTGGTTTACTGATTCCCATCCTGATATAATGCCCACATCCTGCTGTGGACAGAAAACATTTAGGACAAAATTTACAATGAGAAACAGACTGGTGGCAGATGCCTGCAGTAATTCCTATCCTATGATAGCTATGCTCAGACTTACAGAGTGGTGCCTTTCCTCTCCTACTCCAGAAGAAGAGGAAAACATCAG